GGCTTCGCCGCGCTATAAATAATCTCGATGAAGATGCAAGGATATGACTTTCACAAGATTGGACAATTGATTAAATCTGTGACCTGCAATTGCGAATAATCTTGGAAGGCTATTTAAACAGATGAAGGCCTAAATTGTCTTGCTTGTATCTGAATTAATTTCTCATTCATCATCATTATGGAGTGATTGGTTCTATTCAGGCTTTGCAGCCTGCTGGAACGAAACTGGATTTAAATGAGACTGTAACACAATTTAAATGCTCCCCAGCTTTAACGAGGCCAATCGAGCAGCTGCAATAAATACAAATATTTTTCTAAACAGCCTTGTTTTAAATAATTACTTAATACTTTCATGTGATGTTCTTAAGTGGCAATTTCTGTCTCCGAAGTCCCAGGCACTTCTTTGCAGAGGGCAGCAGGGAAAATCACTTGTGTGTTTGCTTTGTGTGTATATGTGCATGCAATACACCGATGGAGATTCTTTAAAATGGGGTTTGTAAATATTAGTGTAAACCTGAACTACGTTCTTGGTCGTAGGTACACTGAGTTTAACTGATTAAAACAAAAACAAACAAACAAAAAAGCAAACGGTGAATTGGAGGCCAGAGGTGGTGATCTATTTGTTTTCTTCTTTGAAGATCCTGAACTAGCAATTTCTTCACCCCCCTACTTAAAAAAAAGAGACAAAAGAAGAAAAACTTTCCAAGGACAGGGACCAGTTTGGGGGGGATCTACCCTAATGGCAGCCCTTCGCTGATACCCGCTCTCCACACCCGCACGGCAGTCAGCCCATCCGCGGGTGCGGAGAGGGGACGGGACCCTCTCGCCTTACAAAAGCGACAGCGAGAAGATCTGGAGGGAGCGGGCAACAAACGAGGGGCTCCGCGGTGAAGGATGCAGCAAAAGGACGTGGGACTGGTTTCCCTCCAGCTTTACACCCACCCAGGAACCTGATGAGCCTAAATGAGGCCATTTGTGTTAACGACACTCCAGCTCATCCTGACGTTGGCTTTACCCCAGGGTGACACTATTGTAAGCGCCAGGACAGCGGGCCTTGGGGTGACATATGGTGGAGGGTTTTTTCAGGGGCTAAACTCGGTAGTGAAATAAAGTAGCCAGGCGAGCAGGAGAATAATAGAAAACAAAAGGATCCTTCAGATATACAAGCCAAAAGCTAAAGGAGCCGCACGCCTTTCTGCAGGTGCCGGCAAACGACCTAACAACCGAGCAGAAAATGTGGAGAGCCGATTTTCTAAAGATTTGGGCGCTGCAGTAAAGAATAGTGATGGGAAAGCAGATCCGATCCAGTTTAATCATACAACCTTAATAAAAACATATAGCCCGAGACGGGAAAGTAAGCGGCAGTGTCGGTGCTATCTCACTTAATGATACAGGAGGTGACACATAAAACACAACAAAGATGGTCTGAGTAGAGCCGAAAAGGGCTGAGTGATTTGATAGAAACGGAGCAATTTAATGCGCGAGTTACAGCACTGCTCCCCGGGATCGTTTAGGCTTAACCCGTTCTCTAGAGCTCATCTTCTTCCTCTTCTGGTCCTTCTTTTATTAGTATTATTATTATTCAGTTGTTTAAAATGAGCATTATCCCAAACATATGCAGTGCAATCAGCTCGGTCACACTTACAAGAACACGCTTTAATAAGGCAATCAATCAAACGCTAACAAGGCGGGGAAGGCCTTTCGGAGCTGAATTTGGCTGGCTGGGAAGGGGAGCGGATGCGGCGGGTGGGGGACCCCGAAGACAACTCGGCACCCGCTGGTGACAGGGGGGCGGGTGCCCCCCGCCGGCTCCCCGGGG